GTCTACTCGTTTAAGAATACTTGAAACAACTGACACCTTTGCGCTGATAGCGTGAGGTGATTTAGTGTCTTAATATTCATTGGAGTGGGTTTTATTCCTGAATATAGATATACTAAAATGTCCGTTTTTCCTCCTCTTAAATAGGCAGTTTAGAAGTGGTAGTTCACCGACGTCTGATTCTGCTTCCGAAGTAAAGTGAATGCTGGGAGATAGATTGTTCAGTTCCTCCAACAATATACTGTGTAGATCTCACTTTAGCACTACAAAAGTATCATCAACGTATCTTAATCATATTTTATGAGTATGCTGGAAAAGATGTTATCTTCGAATCTTTTCATAAAAAGATCAGTGACTATTGGGGAAACTGGTGAACCCATAGCAACACCATTAGCCTGTCTATATAAACTCCCTTTAAATGTAAAATAATTACTTTCTAGACAGAATTTTAAGCTCTTAATTATCTCATTAATGTCCAGTGGACATATTTGTGATAACGTCGTATCTTATTCTAGTAAACTGGAATTGATGTCAAGACTTTTGGTGATAGGGACACTAGTATATGAGTTAATATCATAGCTTACCATAATGTCTTCTTTATCAATTTCTCGGTGTTCCATTTTGGATTTGAAATCATAGGAATCTTTTACAACATTTTGAGTGTCATTATACAATGGTTGTAGTATCGAAAATAAGTATTTGGAGAGGTTGTATGTTTGTGAGTTGGTAAAATCCACTACTGATCTTAATGAGACTGTGGGTTTATGTATCTTTGGTTGACCGTAGAATCTTGAAGGTACATCAGATTTTTATTTTATTTTAAACCAGAGAGAATTTCCAATTTTAGGTTTCATTTCTCGAAGGAGTCTGTTGGCACTTAGTTTTATTTTGTTGAATTCGGCGAATTTCTTCTTTTCTTCAATGAGTAAGTGTAGTCCATCGGGTAGGTGTTCAGTCGCCTTCTTTTCGTAATCGATCTTGTTCATTATCACAATGACGTTTCCCTTGTCGGCTTTAGCTATAACTATGCTTTTGTCTTTTTTCAAATTTCTTAGGGCCTCATATTCTTGTTTGGTGATATTAGATGGTGTTTCGTTGTATCATTAATACACAATCGAGTGTTTGCTGTTATACGTTGTAGATATCGAGTTTGATTGGAAAAACCTACACAAGGTAATAAAATGAGTTGACAGCGCGGTTGGCTGATGTTCTTGAATTATAATTTTCTTGTTCATTTATTTCTCTGCCCTACTATCGAAGTACACCCCCCAATAGTTTGTGCTCGAAACTTCATCAGTTCATATAACTGTAAACACTGAGCGATTTATCAAAATAAAATCTTATCTATAATGGAATTATACTCTACCACAGTGCCCAAGTTTTATACTTATATCAATTACACACCCCCAATTCGTAAATTCCATCCACTTTACTTATGTCAGTGGAAAATAGGATTTCTATGCTTAAATTTAATTGTTCCTCACTCTTATAGCCGCATACGAACGGATGTTATCGTAGACGTATTTTGTTGTGTTCTTGAGTGATAGTTATCACAGTTGTTGGTTCGTGTTATGATTTTGCGTTTTTCAGACTTTTCGAGCTATATATAATCGTTTGTGGAGATTTTTAGTAGTGAGCATTACAAATTTCAGTCCTCATGAGCTATTTTTGAATAGGTATGAGTTTCATGTTATGAATGACCAAGTTGTCGCCGACTACTCATTATAGCATATTTCAAGGTTGTTTTCAGATTAAATCGATGAAAATTTTAACTGTTTTTTGCTGACCTGTTTATGCTCACCACACATTATTTTAAGTGATTTTGTCCTGCATATTCCATTAGGTCTTAAATTCATAAAAACTGAATGCCATTTTGCTGGTAACTGTCTTATTATGCTGTTTAGGTTTGTTAACGGACTGACTGTATCCAGTAGGTTTGTATCTTTTCTTATAGACAATAACATTATGATCTATACTGAAGCTCTCCTGTTTATTAATGGGCTCTTACACATTGACTAACCTTGATTTTAATAATATACCGGTGTAAAATCTCACTACGTACAAAAATTTTAAGCAGTCAGATCATATCGAGACTCCTACAGAGCTGTCTTGATTTAATGGCTGATCAAGGAAACTTATCATTATTATTCCTTGGGTTCCGAGTCGAACATACGGCCTCGACAACACATCTCCATTTTGTTCTATCTTCTGCCATCCCCTTCAGCTAAGTTCACGATAGCCCACCACCTCTCATCTCCTCCTCGCACGATCTCCTCCATGTCACCCTCTCACCGACCACCCATTCGTCGCTTCCCATTTGAATTCCACTCGAGTGATGGCCTACATTACGTGTGATGTCATTCGACGGCCTCCCTAACCTTTGTCCGATCAATGCATCCCCATTTTCTCCTAAATATTTGTTGAGCGATCGGCTCTCGCCTGTTGTTGGTTTGTTCCCAGACAGTGTTTCTTGTTACTGATTCTCTCTGGCCAGCCGGCTGGTCATTTGATCTTCAGTATGGAGCCAGGCAGCGAAGTGGGCAGCTGTTGATAAAAGTCTGCAGTTGGCTGTTGGAAATGCTTTTCGTGACACGCTGGCCAAGTTTGTGATCTGTATAGAAGCACTGACCGACTTGACATTTGTGTTGAAAATCCAAATCTTGTTGTTTATGCTTACTGAGTTCTGATCCTTAAGGAACCTATCAATTGGTGATTATTGTCTAGTGAGGACTCGGCATGATTTTCTTTTTTTTTCGCCCTTAAATGTTTTCAGTAAACTTGCTTTCGAACAGCTTTCGCTTCCCACTCTCACCGTCACCAGTCTGTTTGCATTAGCCAGTCCGGATAAAGCTCCAGAAACCTACATGCATTTAGATCTTGTTCTAAGATGACAATATCAAAGGGTTTTATCTTGACATGAAATTAAGTAGCTTTTAGTAAAACTCATCCTTTACTGTGTTTGAGCTGTAGTCAGTTAATGTATACTCAAATGCGTCATGAAAGTGAGTGTCAAACATTTCTGTAAGGCTACTATTGCTATGTGATGGTGTAATGAAGGTCTTCTAAGCAGAGCTTTAAATGTAAACTTGTTTCGGCAAATTCTCAATATTTCTTTTTTGTCGTATTATTCATTACTTTATTCCAACCTTACTGTGCTCCAAGTTTATGTTTAAATCAATTGATAAAATACCGCGCATTACTTACCACAATTCCATTTATTCGTTCTCTTTGTGGTATCATTTTCGTCCTTACACTTTGTGTATCTTTTAAAAGTATGAGAGGTCAAGCTGACGCATCGCTGTGTGATATTCTACGTTGATCGGTCAGCAGGGTATCATAAGAAATGTGGTAATTTTCGTTGTTAAGCATGAAGTTTAGACATCTATTTCAGGATTTCCATTGTTGCCACATTATTGATTATTGAGGTAAGTAGCATGACTTTCCCAACCCTAAAGGAACATACCTGCGTCAGTTGCAAACCGTATAAATATGCCGTAATCACTGACCATTGCCATTATATTTCGAAGCCAGCTGTGACTCGACTTTGGTAAAAATGTTTGTAACTCAATCTACCTGAGCATAATTAAGTAGTGTAGGTTTATGGTTATAGTCCGACAAATGGGGATAAAACATATGAGAAAATGAAATTATTTTTTGTAGCATGTCCTTTAGATTTTATTTTATTTCGTTGAGATGAGGGTCATTGGTTTAAACACTTAAGTCAGCCGATAAGTCTTAGGTTAGGATCCCGCTCCATCTACTTCAGTCTGGGCAGTTGGGTCGTGTAACTCGCCCTTGCAAACCATGTGCATTGTCTGGTACATGAGAAATCTGTTTCGCGTAACTGAATTGTAACAACTTGCTTTAATGTACGTAACTACATTTAAATATAAATTCTAAACCCAACACGGCTATTTGCTAGTGGAACTCCCACAGGATTGCGGATTGTATACGTAATAATGATAAGTGAAGGTATGTGTGATGATAGAAATATTGAAGTCAGCAAGGCCGTATAAACAGATCAAGTAAGTTGGTTTTTAAGCACAAAGAATGTAGATAAGAACAGTTTGTATGAAAACACATTAGCGAAGTGGTAGTAAGAAAGGATTTTTCTAAGCAAAAGAGAAGGGGATTTCACACAATTCTGATTTTATAAATTAGGATTATTAGTTTTAATGGGTTTGCAAGAAAAAAAATGTGAACACTATAAGAAAAATCGTCTTGATTGTTGATAAATACCGGACGAACTATTACAATTGTACTGTGCGTATTCACTGAGGTTCATACAAATTGTAAGTTAGATAAAAGTATCGATATTTACGACTACTTTGCTCTGCATCCTTTTACTACGATTTATAGCTTTCATACTAGTTTTTGGCAAATACTAGGGATATGCTCTTTTATTATTTCGCTTGTTTGTTTCCCACTGTATTTATGGGTGATATGGTGAATTAAAGTTTTATACAATAATAGGAATTCATATGTGTGCTTTGCTCAGTGATGAACATGTGGCTTGAATTTCAGTCAGTGTCCTATGTTCGATCTCTGTCCCACCTATTTCAGATAGCATAAAAACCAGGCATCTAGTATTTTATAACCTAATAGTGGATCTCTGAGTTGCGATACTTTCTGTAAATTTCTCACCGATTATGTTTACTTATCTAATTACATTTGAATCTTGTCGAATGGAAGACAAACTACTAAGTATAGATGAGATTACATTAGTAATGTACTAACTGCAAATTTTGTTTTATCAGGATGTGACTTTTCACTAAATATGCAGTTTTAGAGTTAGATAGGATTGTTCAGTTTCGGAATAATGATATTTAAAAAAATTAAACAATGCAAAACATTAAAGTCCATCGTTTTTCTCTTTTACTATGAATGAAGTGATACTAAACTAACTACAAACCTTCGGTTTCCATGCTCAGTTAATCGAATTTTTCATGTTGTATATCTACAGCTCTGCGAATTGTGTTGCTATCATTTCTTTATTTGTTCAGGCTGGACAAGAATCATTCCGGTCCATAACAAGATCATACTATCGAGGAGCAGCTGGAGCTCTTTTAGTTTATGATGTTACGAGGTTTGTTGCTCCATTTTCTCTGAACTTTCTGTTATTTTTCAAACGCATTTCTTGATTACTTTTCGTCTAAATAAATATTGACTACCAACCATTGCTCACAGATATTTCGACTTAACTTCATGATTACTGTGTAGATAGAGAAATGAGAGTTCCGTATTGTTCATAGTATGCATATTTATGTCATGTTGGCCTGCAGACTATTACTGACATATTTAACTGCTAGACTACATAGTATTGTCTAAATAATGCCAGCGGGGCACCTCTCAGCCAAGAATCTGGGCCTAAAGAACATTAGGTTTGGATATGTAACACTTGTGCTTTTTATTGTTAAGTACAAACTCTGTGTAAGATATACATTCTGTAGACTTTTAGTGGGTTTCATTATAAAAGTTGTGTTGAATTTTATTGATAAGATAATTTAGAAAAACAAACAAACGAAAGACTGAGCAAAGAAATGTATTCCTTTTCAATTAGTTCCTCATCATTGGCTTTGTATCAGTATACAGCTTTGCGCATCAAAATTTTTATCAGTTATATGGTTATTTTAAGGTAATTTATTTGCACCAAAAAGTTCCTCGAAAGACTCACGTGAGCATATTTACAATATCGTTGCAATAAATCATGATCAGTTGTTATATTGTAACTATAAATACTATCACTTAGATTCCATTAAATTTAAGTTTCTCCATGAAGCATATATAAACTCTTACTAAGGTCTCTCTGACTACGTGGCTTTACGAGTACATGTGTCTCCAACTGGTTAGTGGGCTTGCATATCTCAGTAATTTGATGAGGAGGCATGATACCACTGCAGCCAGAAAAACGTTCGTATTAGGGTGTTCCCGTTAAGCTGTTATCAATCAAACCGTTCTGAGAAAGTATTAGAAAATTCGTCTAGATGAGCTATACATTCCTTTTTATCCTGCGGCTTTTAATAACCGATAGTAATGCTTTAAAAAGTGAATACATTTGCATGGAAATCAGCACTCCCTAAAGGTGAATATGCTATTGCCCCCAAGAAGGTAGCCTTCATTCTAACAGTGGTGCCAGATCACTGCGTATTCTTTATAGGTGCCTTGAGGTGAAATCAGTTTTGATGAAAAAATAACAAACTTAAAGTAACACTTGAGTTCCTAGTAGTCATTATTGCCATTCAGGTCCTATTTATCTTTTTCTATCAAAAACCTGTACACTTCTACTTTTCCCAGCTCTATATCCTATGTTAACGGCTTGATCTCACTTAATGGCTCAAGATATCTTAAAATACCATCTCAAACTACGCATCAAACTATTCGATGTGCGTATCCTATCTTAAACTAGATAACAAGCGTAACACATATCACACCAAGGATATTTGTTGTGTATGAAAGTCAAGTACACATGACAAAAGTCAGGTCAATCACTTGGCTGAATATTACATTTACCTTGATTCCGTACGAGACATGCATTTCACGGTTGAGAAATCGTCAGATGCAACGTTGATTGTTGACGCAAATAGAACATCTCCACTTCGAATTGTGGTTAATAACCACCTGTGTACTATCCAATCAAACGTTACAGTAGGATCATATCGCATCAATTTGAGTACGAATAATGTTAAAGATGACTCTCATCACTTTCAAAGAGTAAAACACTGTGATATATTCAATAAAGCCACTCCATTTGAGTCCAGCACAATAAAAACATCTCAGTTGCCAGCTACAGCATTTTATGCATATGATTGTTAGAACTTAATACACTGCTAGATCAAGCAGAATGAGGTAGATGAAGCTGGGTTTAAGCCTTAGGGTCTATTACATAGAATTCGGGAGCTTAAGCTAATGTTTCTATTCCCATAATAACAGTTTCACTTAGTGGGTTTGAAGTCAGTCAGCCAATTTACACTGCAGATTAGCTGCATCCCAAACAACATCGCCGTGTCCGGTGAACACAACTTGTTGGTTTTAGTGGTTTCTCACTACTGATGTATGCTGTCAGTATACTAACAGTCTGCACGCCACTCAAGAACTAAAGAGGTAAAGTATCATGACTTTCAGGGGAAACCACGATGAGGTTTTATTTTGGGGTTGTAAGGAGCATTGAATAACATCCTGAGGTTATACTTAAGAACATTCAAGGGAATATTCCAAAGGGGTCACATTGCTTTGTAATTATTACTAGAAACATGTAAATTTGTACTTTAGTTATTAAAACACTTGCAAGTCCGTGTGTCTATTACTAATGTACAGTAACATTTATATAAGCGATACTGCATAAACCAAAAAATTAACAGAGATTCAAACTCAAATTATGACAAACTATTTTTCTTCAATTCTGACAATAACCATATTGCTTACTAGACATTTTTTATGATATTTTTTCCGTTAATTAGACGTGATACATTTAATCATCTTGCATCTTGGTTGCAAGACGCTCAACAGCATGCTAGTCCAAATATGGTTATTACATTAGTTGGAAATAAGTTTGACTTGGATGCTAAACGTGAGGTTAAACAAGAAGAAGGCGAATCTTTTGCTCGGGAGCATAAATTATTATTTATAGAAACGTCAGCTAAAACTGGAGCAAACGTCGAACAGGCTTTTTCTGTTACTGCACGCGCAATTTACGAGCGTTTACAACAAGGTCTTCTGGATATCAACAATGATGTAAGTTTTCGTTACTTAGAAAGAGATTCCTTTGACAATAGGTAACTTGTTTTTATAAACAGATCTGTAGATATCTTGATTTTGTGTGGATTTAAACAGCTTGCTCACAAGTTTTGTGTTGACGTCTTGTTGTTTTACAGTATACACACCTTGTTATGACTAACAGCAATCTAATTTCTCTGTTACAACTTTCGTGGAATCAATGACTTTAGGGTAATCTCTGTATAATAATTAAGGTAAATATTATAACTCGTAGACTTTATCGTTTGCCTATTTTTTGGCAGATATTTGTACGAAACAAGGTGGAGAGAGAATGAAAATAAATTACTGGACAGCAAGTAACTTTACACACTAAATTTTGCTTTTTTTTCACTCTTGCGTTTATCATGTGTGTGTGTGTGTGTGTGAATGTGTTGAGTATTTCGCCTTACAATTACTTTCCCGTGATGTCAGTACTCTTAGATATTGTAATTTTCAGTATTTCCTCCATCATGTTTTGTCTAAATTCAATGCTTCTGATGAATTGTTCTTGTACTGGAAGTAAGTTTCATGGTGTATTGGATTGGATGCATGCGTCATACTGGAAATCTTTGGTGTCATTACGAATGGCATTTTAATCACAAGTTGTGTTGATTTCAAAGAATCCTTTTGAAAGATTGTGTATTAAGATATGTTTTATCGTTCAGTCTGTAGCTCTTGTTAACATTGATCCCCACTAAGACCGTTTATAAGAACTCTGTCTATGGTGGTTCTTAGTGTAAGTTCACCTTGTGACTATTGCTATGCAGTGGTAATTACAGCTACTATAATATTCTTAAAAGTCCACTCTTCTTGGAATATTTCTGATCCCATTCCGTTATATTGCTCTGGTTTTTGAACAGAGGAAGCTTCACAAACAATTTTGCCGTGATATCTTTTGATGTATGTTGTACATAAGTTTGCTACTCATTTTACAAAGTGCAACATAAGGCGAATATGAGATTCGTTGATATCAATGTATACACCGGTATCGTTAGAAGTGTTTGGTCATTTCGACCGGGTCAACATATCGGTTGTTTTATATTATTGTAGCTATCTAGAGTGATATTATTTTCACTTGAAAGTTTTAATCGGGGAATTGATTAAAATCAAAGTTAAAATATATAGACTGTTTTGTTATGTGATATCCTTGTATAATCATGAATGGATAACTTACTATCATGTATAGAAAATAACTTATGCTTTGACTGATTTTACTCTTCTTTATTTAAGCGCGAATGTATTTGTTATATGTGAATTAACTTGTATGTTCAGATAAGACTTTTTGCTAACGTATACGAAGTAGTTCCGTTCCGTTTCGTTTATGTTATTCATAATCCTGCAACTGGTTGTGAGGTTTTCTTATTCTGACACCCATTTTTTCTTTGTTTAGTTCTATTGCAAGCTCAAGAGTTAAAGTAGCATCGTTGCCTAACTGGCAACTGGGTTGCAGGAACCCAGTGTTTATATCAGTAAACAGGAGCTTAACTGGCACCACACAAGTCATAAATGTAAGCCTAGGTGCACTATATCGTTTACACATCTTAAGTACACATACTTTAAACAAACAGTATTGCACGGAGCCATGTTAGAGCTTGTAGAGAGTTGACATCTGAAGTGATGATAACTAGTAGTGTCTGTCAGGGATGCTCCCTTTTTTTCGATTACAGCTTGATTCCACACCTTATTTTTGGTACAGGTATCGAATTTTCAGCATGTGATATGAGTAGCCCAAATTATGCAGGCTGACCTTAGATATCAGGTGTGCGTCGGCAGAGGATCGAATTCCGGACCATGTGCATGATTGGCGAGAGTCGTAACCGCTGTGCCACCGATGCAAGTTTAATTTCATTATTGATGTTTTCATGAAATTGACTGTAGCGACTTAGGGACTGACTAGTTCTCAGGGGACGGTTTTGTTGACCTAAAGTATACGGATGATATTGTCCTCCTAGGTGAATTCGTTGATAAAATCCAGATGCTTTTACTCTGTGTCATCTCCCAAATCCATTTCATGCTCATGTTTCTCCATGTCATTATTTTTCCCCCCAGATATTTGAATCCCCTTTTCCTCTCTTTTGTGTATACCTTTTTGTGTTACATGAAATGTCACAACTTGAAGTTCTGCGCTACTGTGCAGAGTTCCATTTTAAAATCAAGTCAGTTAGTTAAACAAAAATTTTAAACCTGATTGGCTCGCTTTCAGTGGATAAATTCATCTTTTCTTAGTAACACTTGAATATTCTACACGTCTCAGTAGTAGACTGTATAACGTGTGATAAACTGTACGAAAAAATAAATTAAAAGCGTCATCGATTTTCTGTTATAAAATTGCACTAGTGGTTACGAATAATTTGACAAATGAAGTTATTTACAAGAAATTCATTTTTTAGGTAACATGGATGTGTGTAACTGTAAAATTTATATCATGTTCTAATTGCGTTTTTGTAAGAGATCTTTTATCATCAGCCGCATAACATTGGGATAGAAAATTGTAAAGTATATTTCTAGTTTTATTATTAACCGTTATAATTCATGACTGTTGACTGATAATTATCTTGTACACTAGACACATATGGTGTGATTTTAATCGGCATGTTGGTTTGATTCATCATTTTCTTTTGTTGTTTATAAAAAGGAGCGGCAAATACAGCAAACTTTCTATATAGTTGACTTTGTAGTCGTTTCCACTCTCTTAGCATACACTGATTTAATGATAGAAATACAACAGGTTTGGATATGACATCGTTGAAAACTGAATGCATTTGTTGCATTAACTGATCATAGTAATATAAATTCTTACTATTTGTCGACTGTTTTTTAAACTTTGTGAATTCGTGCTGTTTAAAATTTCGCGAACGTGTTTATAATCTAGTTCAGCTATATTTTACTTTGAAAAACCATTTTTGTCTAACTAGAACCACATTTTGTGGGTGTAATGCGATTTTAACCTAGATATTATGCAACAGAATGCCTGAGATTTTTTGTTACGTAACTGCAAAAGGTTTGGGAAGAACGAAAGAAACATGTGGATTGGCAGAAAGGCTACCTCGTAAAATTATGAAAGGCGACTGGGGTCTCTACAAGAAGAACATGTGTAATAATGCCCTTGTCCACGCCAAGTAAAATACTAAGTCGTATCTTCCTGGAGAGAATTAAAGGTGCACTGGATGCAGAACTCCTCCCCATCGACCAGAACAAGCTGCATTCAGGAAAGGCAAACCATGTGTTGACTGAATTGCAGCTGTACGCATCATCGTTGAATAATGCACAGAATGGCGGTCAAACCTCAACCTCGATTTCATCGACCCTGAAAAGGTCTTTAACAGTGTTGACCGCGAAGTAATTTGGAAACTGCTTCAACCCTATTGCGTGCAGTGCCCAATTCTTTATCATCCTAATCCAATAGCTGGCTATATGACAATGCCAAATGTCAAGTGATCCCTAACGGAAAACTCAGGGAAGACTTTGAAGTGAAGACAGGAGGTGATGAAGATAACCAACGAACAGCAACAACAACAACCAGCTCCAATCACCATCAACGGGAGGAATTTGAAATGAAATGATAATGACGTATTACTAATACGATCCTGTAAAATTTTTAATTAATATTTACTCAGTGCACACATGCCTGTATTTTGAATAATATCTACCCAGTTATAATGGGTTTCTGAGACTAAATTCAGTGAAAGGAAAAGAGGCTGTGAAATTAAACCAGGATTCAAAATTATGCATTCTACTGCACTTGGATGTATCTTCTCTAAAAGTGGTAGATTAAAGGCATCACTCATTTTCTAACTTTACCACATGTTTTTTTTATCAGGAACTGGTGCCCGATGGTGCTAAGCTAGATATTACCAATCAACCTATATTATTATTATTATTATTATTGTTCCCTTGGGTTCCGAGTGGAACATAGGGCTTCAACTACACACCTCCACTTTCTACTATTCTCTGCCATCCCCTTCAGCTGGGTCAACGATTTCCCACAATCTCTCATCTCCTCCTCACACGATCTCCTCCATGTCACCCTCTCACCGACCACCCATTCGTCGCTTCCCATTTGAATTCCACTCGAGTGATGGCCTACATTACGTGTGATGTCATTCGACGGCCTCCCTAACCTTTGTCCGATCAATGCATCCCCATTTTCTCCTAAATATTTGTTGAGCGATCGGCTCTCGCCTGTTGTTGGTTTGTTCCCAGACAGTGTTTCTTGTTACTGATTCTCTCTGGCCAGCCGGCTGGTCATTTGATCTTCAGTATGGAGCCAGGCAGCGAAGTGGGCAGCTGTTGATAAAAGTCTGCAGTTGGCTGTTGGAAATGCTTTTCGTGACACGCTGGCCAAGTTTGTGATCTGTATAGAAGCACTGACCGACTTGACATTTGTGTTGAAAATTCGAATCTTGTTCCTTATGTTGGCTGAGTGTAGAAGATTTCCAAACTGGTTTCAGGTTGATGAAGGCGTATCTCGCCTTTCCGATTCAGGCCTACCTCCACAGCCTCATCCGTTCGGAATGCCTGTAGTTGAAACTATGCTTCCTAGATAAGTGAAGGCAGGAAGTGACGTCTGTCAAATCTCTCCCGTTGATGGTGAGTGGTGTTGGTTGTTGTTGTTGATGTTGCTATTGCGGTTCGTTGGTTACCTTCATCGCCTACCTCCGTCTTCTCTACGTTGACCTGCAGTCCTGTCTTTACTGCCAGCCTCTAGCCAGATTGTTGGTTTTCGCTTGCAAGTCTTCGAGTTTGTGTGTGCGAAATCCAGATCTTCTAGACTTTTCTTGTCGGTGGTCGAACGTATTCTTGACGCCTCGCTTCCCACTATCTGACACATAATCTAGTCCACCACAATTCAGCATATGATAATCGGTTGTAATAGACAGCCAGACTTATCGTACTGCTGTATTCACTTCGAACACCTCACTGAGTTTTCCTTTGTGGATCACCTGACACGTGATAGGCATTATCGCATAGCCAGCTGTTGGATAAGGTCGATAAAGACTTGGGGACTGCACGGGGTAGTGTTGAAGTAGTTCCCAAATTACTTCTCGGTCAGCACTGTCTGCCGAATGCCATTTCGAAGTCGATGAAAGAAGCTGAGGTGGAGAGAGGTTTGACTGCCATTCTATACTTCGTTCTGTGATGACGATGCGTACAGTTGCAATTTGATCAGCACATGATTTGCCTTTCCTGAATCCAGCTTGTTCTGGGTTAGCGGAATTCTGTATCCAGTGAATCTTTTTTATTCTCTCTGGGATAATGCGACTTAGTATTAAACTTGGCGGGGGCAAGCGCATGATTCCACACCAGTTCTTGGAGTGTGAGGCGTAAGTTGCCCTTCTTTGGCAGCTTGACAAGATAGCCAGTCTTCCTTCCAATCGATAGGTCCCTTTGCCCTTTCTCAAACCTTTTGCAGCGATGGCGTGAGTGCATCTGCGGTAGTCTCTGGGTCCGTTTTCAGTGATTTGGGGTTGAAGAATTCTGTTTGGTCGTGGTAACTTCTCAGCTGGCCTTCAGTAGCTTGATCGCATTCAGGATTTCTGCCTTCGTTGGAGGATTGGTGTCCATTGGGAGGCAGTTCTATGCGTGCTTTCGGTGGTAGTGGTATTTCTGGGCGAGTTGCAGGTGGTAGTCGATTCAAGAATCCTTTGAAGTGATCAGCCTATTGTTTTATTTGTTCCTTCTCCTTGGTAATCAGGTTCCCTTGAACATCTTTTATTTGTTTCATAGTCTGGATTGGTGTCTTGCCGAACTGCGAACAATCCGGTTGTCTGATATAATGTTCTCTGAATCTTATTCTTGATTCTGGCTGAGTGCAGAAGATTTCGAGACTGGTTTCAAGTTGACAAAGGCCTAATTTGCCTTTTTGACTCTGGCCTACTTCCACATCTTCATACGTTCCGACTGTTTGCAGTTGAAACAATGCTTCCTGGATAAATGAAGGCAGGAATTAATCTCTGTCAAATTTCTCCCGTTGATGGTGAGTGGTGTTGGTTGTTGTTGTTGATGTTGCTATTGCGGTTCGTTGGTTATCTTCATCACCTACCTCCGTCTTCTCTACGTTGACCTGCAGTCCTTTCTTCGCTGACAGCCTCCTCAATTAGTTTGTTGGTTTTTGGTTGCAAATGTTCGAGTTTGTTGGACACTACGATATATATCATCAGCATAATCCAGTCCACCAGAGTTCACCATATCAGCGGTGATAGCAGACAGTCAGCTAAACTTGTCATACTCCTGTATTCACTTCGAATACCTCACTGAGGTTTCCGTTATACGTCACCTGACACGTGGTGGGCATTGTCATATAGCCAGCTGTTGTATGAGACTGATACAGATTTATGCACTTCACGCCATAGTGTTGAAGTAGTTTCCAAATTGCTTCCCAGTCAACGCTGTCTGTTGAGTGCCCTTTCGAAGTCGATGAGGGAAGTTGAGGTAAAGAAAGGTCCGACTTCCATTCTATACATTGTTGTGTGGTGATGATGCGTAGATTTGTTATTAGATCAGAACATGATTTGCCCCTCCGGAATCCAGCTTGTTCCACGCTAGCGGAATTCTGTATCCAGTGTGTCTTCTATTCTCTCCAGGACGATGCGAGTTAGTATTTTACTTGGCGTTGACAGGAGCATTATTCCACGCCAGTTCTTGCAGATTGAGGCGTAAGTTGCCCTTCTCTGGCTGGTTGACAAGATAGCCAGGCTTTCTTCCGATCAGTAGGTACCTTTCCTCCTTCCGAAACCTTTTGCAGTGATGGCGTGAGAGCACCTGCCACAACCTCTGGATCCGTTTTCAGTAATTCGGGGTGGGGGAATTCCGTGTGGTCCTCCTGCCTTTTCAGCTGGCCTCCAGTAGCTTGATCGCATTCAAGATTTCTGCTTTCGTTGGGGGATCGGTGTCCACTGGGAGGCTGTTTTGTGTGTGCTGTTGTTGTTGGTGGTGATATTTCGGGGTGAGTTGCATGTGGTGGTCGACTCAAGAGTCCTTTAAAGTGATCAGCCCATTGTTTTATTTGTTCATCCTCCCTGGTGATCAGGTTCCCTTGAAACCTTTTATCGGTTTCGTCGTCTGGATTGATCTCTTCCAGGACAGTAAGCAGCCTGATTATCTGATATAATGTTTTCAGGTCTGTTTTACCTAAGGCCTTCCTGTCTGCCTGTTCTGCCTCAGTTGCCGCTACGCAGTGTGTAGTAGAATTGTCTTCTGTCTTTCCTAGCACTTTTCACGTCTTTCTTGATTCACTGCAGTGTACATTTCTGTCAACCCAGCTTCTCCTTCTGTCGCCCATCTTTGTACTGAGTCATCTTCGCTTTCACCATCCTCCTTTCCTCGCTTTTATGAGCTACCAGGTAGGTGTCCGTTGAGAGGCATTGCTTGTCTATCTCTTCTTTTTTCCTAGAACAATTGTGCACGTTTTCTTTGTTTGTTCGAATGTTCTTTCACACAGGTTTCCTCAGTGTTGCCACGTAGTGTCTCCGACTTTGCTCTCATCTGATCTGACCTGAACTGTAGTGAAGCCACTCATTGTAGTTTTGTCGCTCATTCTCCGAATGTTGGACTTGAATTGTAGTGGTCTGTCTCTAGTTGTTTTGTGGGACTTCAGCTTCACCTTGAAAGATTCTTGGACTAGATGACGGTCTGAGCCCGCCCACATATGCTCCCCTTTTCGACTTCGTGTTCAGCAGACTGGCTGCGTCTCCACTTCGTTGAGCAGTATTGAGCTGATTTGTGGTGTGTCCATCAGGAGAAATCCATGTTGCTTTGTGTATAACCTCGTGCTTGTACACGCTGATTCCTATCACCGAATCATTGAAATCGCAGAAGTCTGTGAATAATTCGCCGTTCTCATTCATTTCGTCGAGTGAGCGCCTCTCAACCGATGATGATTTCTCTTCCCGTATTATCTGCTCCCAGTTCGGCTTGCATTCATATCGCCCATGAGTATTTTGATGTTGCCATTTGGGATGATGTCCAGTACTGTTTGAAGTTGTCTGTAAAAATCTTCCTTCTCTTATTCCACCTTGTTTGTTTGTGTGCATGATAATTGTGAACTTCCTTCCTTCCTTTTGAGTTAAATCTTTCTGTTATGATCCTGAAGGATGAAATTAGTTCTCACTGCATTAGGGCTCTGGCTGCCACTGATGACATCATAGCCACTTGGCGCCTCACTGTGGTCGTGTTTGACGTTTTGGTGACCAGACAGAAGTAGATTACTGACTCTCTAGTTGACAGTTTTGACAGTCTGCATTTATTCCATCTGCTTTCACAGATACTCAGTACTTCTGAGCCATATCTTCGCATCTCTCTGGCTATCTGGGCAGTCTTCCCAGCCAGTCTCGTACATTGTACGGATATTCCACATCCCCATTCTTATTCTTGCTTTCATCGATAGAAGACACTTTGTCTGAAGGCTTTCATCAACCTACTGTATCATTTTACATCTCCGGTTGCAGCGAAAAACAAGATTGTTTTTTGAATTTACTGTATCTTTAATAATTTTTCTTGTGCTTTGAAGTTTCTCTAGCGGTTTGATAGATTTAGTGGTGCTAGCGTTGCTAGCCCCATACCTACCCTTTCTCTCTTTACCAGGGCTTGGGACCGGCTAGAAAGCTAGCAAGCTAGTTAACTAGGCGAGGTTAATCACCGTATATGATAAGGAAATTCGTTGTTGGAGTTTACTAAGTAAATATTGATGAAAGCTTTTTTTTATTATAAATAGACTTGTGAAGACCTGACTCATTCGCCTAAGTACTTGACTTTCACCTGACTGGTCCGTTGTTCAAATCTCGTTTCATCTACTTCTGCCTTGAAATAAAGGTACTGTCGTCAGCCCTCACTCACTGAGTATGTCTCATGCAACCAAAGAAGTAAAGGGTCAATGCAAACGTGTAGCACTTATAACTGGACTGGTGGTTGTGGAGATCTGTTTAGGGGAGTTGAAAACCCCTGATTTCAAACCTATGGTGTATATGCGGTGGAGAATCGGAAAAAAATGATGTATGAAACTGTTTTGGTCACCGCCAGGCATGGCGCTGTAGTCCCTGACACTGCTACTCTGCCTTGTGGATCGAACTTCGTGCCAGATGTTTGGATGTGGGCGGGGACTAGGATAGTCACTTGTTTCGGTCTGGACGTCTGGGCGGCATCCCAGCCTTCGTACTATAGGATTTTTGTAGCACGTCTGTTGGCACTCATAATCTACGAAGTGTGTGTTTTAGTAATACTAAAATTTAATATGACTCAGACCTTGATATATGAATTATCTGTCCCGGGTAACTGAGTTCTAAGAATATAAACAGTCTTATTTTAAATGTGGATAATAAGACTAATACTATAATTATATATAAGTTTAGGATTGTCACCTCATCACCCGAGTACTCTTTGGACCATTGATCTCTATATTTATATAGTTCTAATTTATATAATTCAAATAATTGCTTGCGAACGGAGTTGGTGAGCAGTAACTAAGATTGAATTTATTATTTATTTATTTATTGTTAATACATATGAAATCTTAATGTAGTGGTGTATAATGTTTACAGAAATAACCACAGGACTCAGTTTTATGTATTGATTAATTGGATACTTTATTCAAAAGTGAATTGGATGACTTCGTCGAAAAGAAAATTTTCTTCGCTGCAATTGTCTTCTTATTAACTCCTATAACCCAATGTGTATATTCCGTGAAAAGTGAATTCAAAATTTTTTTAAGTGAAATGATTTTAATCAGTGGTTAGAGTGCACAGTTTATTACCAGTATTGTATGCATTAATTGTGGGAACAGACCGACAATTTAGGAGAGGGATTATTTTCTCGAGCAAATAGTGAGTTATCTTGTTATTTAGTTCAAAATATATTCAGTAACATGGATAAGGATCCTGCATGCTCATCAGTAGAAATCAGAGAAAGAAGTAAGTCTTAATAATGTGGTTGAACAACAGTCTAAGAATGTTTAGCATGAATTACATCCCTGTCAACTGTAAAGTTGTGCCATAAAATAGGTTTAAACCAACTTCTGGTTTAAATATAGGTAGTGGAAAACTGTTGTGAAGATTGTATCAACTCTAATGGACTAATTGCTGACGAAGTCTCATTCTGTGCTTTTTATCTTGAGTCACCTCTGGTATAAACGTGATATTTGACTGTAGAACAGCATTTCTCTTTGTCCTGCGATTTTTTTGCAAACGTGGTCGCTGAAGATACTGGATATGTAAAGATCTGTGGTTTCTGACCATAGATGTAATCATCCAGTTTCTCAAGGTAGTTGAATCTGTAATGATCAGTAATGGTAAGGTTAATTGTAGGGTGTTAGATAGACGTAAAGATTTAACCGATGAGGTTGTGAATCCTCATCGAATGAGGTGGCTAGGATACTTGACACGCATTCGAAGCCATGTTTTTCCTCGAGGACTAATGCTGGCTGAAGTGGAATTCATTTTCACTCGGTTATTTTCCCTTCAGTGCTACTCATGCCTACTCCATTAAATTTCTGACTTTTGGTGTGAGTTACATATGAAGGTATAAACAGTTTGACTGGTTAATGCCTTCTAAATGTTAAGAATCAGTGTTTTTTGTGGCATGACATAGATGTATTCATTACTAGTTGCCAATCAAATTCTGAAAATCTCCACAGATCTTTATTTAATTGTTCCCTCCCCCAAACGTTTTCGTTTATTGTAGATTCGCTACACTAACGCTTTGTACTTTTATGTGTGGATTTTGAAAGAGTGTCAACCTGATCTGATAATCATATGTTCGAAGCTCTATGTAGGCAATTCAGTTAGTCATTTTTATTAAGTCTTATAATAGGTAAGCATTTAGAGTACTGTATTTCCACCTCGTCGGTTTGATTTATGCACTTTAGTTGTCTTGTTCTGCGTAGATGGTAGTGTCCTGTTGCTTGAAGACGCCAATGACTTACAGTCTTATGGACATTGCAAGTTAATAATGCATGGGATGTGTTATTCAATATCTTAATTGAAGATTGTTATTTCAAGAATAGTTAGTGTCGATAACTTTTCCGATTCTAGATGGTGAATTGGGTGGTGGTTCTACCACTTCACATACTTAGATTGGTGGACATAGCGTCACTAGTCAGATTGTGTCAGGTGATGTGACAGGGGTATGTGACTGTACATTAATCGTTTAGATTAATGTGTAGCAAGTTGCTGCGCCCTACTCTAAGGCTGAAGATTATGGTCACACAGTTAGGAGATGTCATAAAGTCCTAATTATTTGACCGTCATTGGTTTGCTGGCTTTTCAGACACTTGGCAGAATCATCATATGTGCTTTGTAGAAGTTGGGTATAGAGTTCCAGATAGAATAGTAAAGTCATTTGAAAGAGACTATTAATGAATATTTTCTGAGGTGCCCCAGTCATGCAAAATGCTTTACTGTCCACTATCTAATTTTGGATTATTTGACTCAAAACCATAGATCCACTTATATTGCCTCTTAACTGTAGCGTCAATTCTCTTTACCCCCTTTTGTTTACAATCTACCATATTTTTTGTATTTGTTCAGTTCTTTTGTATCTGGATTTTTTTACTAAGTGCTTGGTGTGTAGAGTGAGTCATAGCAACTTAGACCATCAAACACGAGTACTACGTCCCATGCTGATAATATTTGTTTACCTCTTTGTTCTGCAAGTGTTCAGTTTCTTATCCAAGATACTGCTGATAGGATTTTCGAAGTACGCTTTTACAATCTCTGTGTATCAGCTTACTTCATAAATATATATAAGATAAACATCGGAATAATGAAATTATGACTTTCGTCACTTTTAACTTTTACTTTATACCCATAAATGTGTATTTATGTGTATATTGGTGAAAATTATTCGCTATTTCTTTTTTTTTAAAATAGGCAAACGGTATTAAATTGGGTCCTCAACAATTGACCAATCGACAGACTGGTTCTTATGGTCCTGTCGGCTCAGATACAGATTCAAGTAATACTCTAAGAAAACGTTGTTGTTAGTCTGTAACAACGAACATGCGGTATGGTCACTGCATAACACAGGGAAATCAACTGTCAGCTAAAACAGACAATAATAAACGGCAGTAATCGAAATGATACAAAAATATTGTTGTTATTATTTCAGTATGATTCCACCAGAAATCTTTCCTTTTTTTATCTCAGTCAGTCGGTCAGTTTTATGCTTTTTTTTTTAAATTAACTATTTCTTCGAGTTTTAACTCTGTTGGCTGTTTCATTTTATTTTGTTGTTTTCGTTCCAAATATTTCTTTGACTGTGAATCGTGCACATTTTATATTGACTTGTGTGAATCCCCCTTATATAACTGTTTTTCTTTTTGTTGTTCAGTGACTTACCTTCACCTGTTGTTTACTTCTATTCCTGAGTATATATATATATATATATATATATATATATATATATAACATTCGTTTATTTTTCATTCCAAGAAATCATTACCATTGTGATGCTGATCGGTATTACATTTATTGTATATTAATTACTTGAGGAGAAGTTTCTAGTAATACAACACACGAATAATACTCGTATCAAAAGTTGGTGATGATGGATACTGTTCACAAAATGAAACCGAACAGCGCTTAACTTTTATGCCAATACCTATTCAAGGTGTTGATGTTCGTATGGATTTATTTTTATTTTGTTAGGTAACTTACTGTGTATGAACACCTGTACCTGTATATTTTAGGGCATTGTCAGCAGGAAACATGTGATGCGCGCTGTCTGCCTCTTCAATCAAGATTGGTTATCAATCAAATCTTTTTGTAAAATGTGATTGCTGTTCTTTGTTTTTTTTAATAACTTTAATTTGTTTTATTTGAATTACCTTTTGTTTTTGTTTCTAAAGGAATATTTACCAACTGCTTATTTTTCTTTTTTCTTTTCGAAAACATGTTTGTTTGTCTGTCTGTCAGAAAGTTTTTAAAACTATTAGGCTTATTTACGAATGCTTACAATATCTTATTCATACAGATTATCAGATACTGAAATACATTGCATTGTTACTTAATATTGCTTTATGAAAATTATGTATCTGATTCATACGCTTCAGTCGAATATGTAGAACCAAAGAAGGAGGTACTTGTATAATTTACTGGATTCACTGGTCAACCGGATTTTTTTCGTAGTTGGAAATTGAATGCATTACTGGCTACGTTTATAATAGTGTTTTACATAAGACTGCTAAATAAATGCACTGTGATTTTGTATAGTACAGTTGTTAGTTATTTGAAGGAAGTACGTCGTATCAGAATGAATGCAACTGTTTAGAAATAAATAGGTGGAAACAGTTCTGCATTTTTGTGTGGTGATGATGTTCTATGAACATAAATCTGTTACTGCCAGTTAGGAAATGATATAATAATTTACACAATTAATCTAGTGTTTTTTCTTTCACGTTCCCAGTGGAACTTAGGGCTTCAAGCTAGAAGGCTTGAATTTTCTGTAGCAGTGTTTATTTTTACAGGATGGGGTTGCTAGCCTCCTGCCCAACCTTCCCTCTTTACCAGTCTTATTACTGGCTTAGCGAGGTAAAGGAGTGGGTCGGCCGTGGATCGCACCCTGGACCATGTGCATGGTCGGCGAGCGTCCTAAACGCTATACCACCGACGCTGCTAGTTGAACTGAACTCTGTCGCCACATAAATTCCATCCAACTAACTGCTCCGTAAACTAGTGCAGTAATTCGGGTGAGTTGTCAAACTATTCACTGATTGAATATCAGTTGGATTCTTACCTACTTTTATTGTTTATTTAAGGTAACTAAATTATAAAATTATTTCAAAATTGTACTACATACACTGAATATGAATTACTCTCTTGAATAAGCAAATACTTACGTAGCATATAATTTACCATGGAGTTTTGGTGATGTGAAATAACGGTTGTATAAGGGTTTCATTTAATATATAACTGCACCGTTGTAATTAATATATATATATATATATATATATATATATATATATATATATATATATATATATATATATATATATATATATATATACTCGATGTTAAGACTGCATTGGAATTCTTTCGATACCAAGTTTCATGTGGAACTTGAGGAAGCTGGCCGTTGCTGTACGATCGAACTCTTGCTGTTGGACTAAAATCATTGCTGTCGTTTTAGTGAGAGCAAATGCAGTAGTTATAGGTCTGTGATACAGCAGAGACGATTTGTGATTCAGTATGAGGATTGAAATCATATCAAAAAAATATATTCGATTAGGAAATTACTGTCTACCACAGCGCCCGGATTCCATTTTTATGTCAGTTAATAAAACGAATATTTTATTTATTTTTTATTTTTATTTTATTTTTGATTACAGCTATATTCCACACTGTATTTTTGGTACAAGTATGGAATTTTCAGCATGGATATCGGTAGCCCAAATTTTGCAGGCCGACCATAGATATCAGGTGTGCGTCGGCGTGGGCTCGAACCTCGGACCATGTATATGGTCGGCGAGAGTCCTAACCACTGTGCCACCGACGCACCGACGTTTGTCTAATACTGATAGCTTTATATTCATACAGCAGTCGGCAATCGTTCGCTTGGTTGGACTATAACATCCTTCTCTGACCTTTATTGATGAATGTTGGTAGGTAAATGATTAGTATTTAAAACCTCCTGAAAAACTCCTTCAACCAATAAGAGCTGAAAACTAAACATTTATAATGTGCGTCGGTGGCACAGTGGTTAGGACTCTCGCGGACCATGCACATGGTCCGGGGTTCGATCCCCTACCGACACACACCTGATATCAATGGTCGGCCTGCAAAATTTGGGCTACCGATAACTTATGCTGAAAATTTCATACTTGTACCAAAAAGTACTGTGTGGAATCAAGCTGTAATAAAAAAATAACTAATCAAAATATTGAATTTTCCTATAGTAAAATGTAGAACAACACATTTAAACTGACAATATTATTTTCAATTAGATCTCATCAAGCTTAACTCTAATATATACAACTTCACAAGTAAATATTCAAATATAAACAATTCATGGTGTTTCGTCAGCAGGATAATAAGACTTTACATATCATTTATGCAATTATTCATAATATTAATGATAATGATACTAATGATTCTGTCAGTAACAAGTATGAAAAAGTGAGGTGGTCTGTGATAACAAGGATAGCGAAAAACAGCATGATTAAATATAAAAATGTTCAGGTAGAAGTAGTAGATAAATTCCATTGTGGGTAAAATTTATTTTGATAGTCTCACAGTGTTATACAGTAATATTTACTGACGAAGTTTCGAGCACAATTTATCGCTCATAATCATGTCAAGTAGTCAATAAGGGGTAAGAAAAACAGATGGACCGATTAAGTCATGCTCGATTGTAAGCCGGGTGAATAGAAGATGTTGAAACTGACGGCCTGCTTAAACCGTGGACTCCCAAAATTTTCCATCATATATATCGCATCTAATTTCTCGGATTTACTTTGGTTTAGTCATTCAGTTATGTGTCCAAATCATATTTACTCTCGCGATCATTTAAAATGCTTTCAACTGGCTAATTTACAAGTTTCTAATAAACTTAATGTGTGTTGGCACAGCGGTTAGGACGCTCGCCGACCATGCACATGGTCCGGGGTGCGATCCACGGCCGACCCACTCCTTTACCTCGCTAAGCCAGTAATAAGACTGGTAAAGAGGGGAGGTTGGGCAGGAGGCTAGCAACCCCATCCTGTAAAAATAAACACTGCTACAGAAAATCCAAGCCTTCTAGCTTGAAGCCCTATGTTCCACTGGGAACGTGAAGAAAAAATTAATAATAAGAATTATTGTGGGTGGCGACGAGCCTTGAAGCGTATTCCAATGCATCAGATGACAGTTCCTGTGATTATGAGCGCGAACTGCGGGTCGTTATCCAACAAGGTTAATTACTTGCGTGCTTAATTATCTTCAAATGTTTATTGTAATACAGGTGTAATAACCCTGACTCCACGGTTCAAATGATGACAGTTATTTCCCCCTTAATGGTTTCACTTTATACAAACAAGACCGACACAGTTCAAGGATGAGGCGAGGCGATGATGTCTCCACTTTTATTAATTCTAAGTGGTCTACTGCCAACAACGTCTGCTCCATATTCTCAAGTGATAACGCTGACTGTACAACTGTTAAATGTCGACCTAAACACCTGTCTAAGCACCACTTTATTTGTATCACGAACATTTATGTCACACCTTGTTTTAGTCCCTCAAGACTATCCATGTTTGTTGGTGAATTCACCTCCTCTTTTGGTAACACACTTTCCATGGTGACTGGCGATTTTAATTCTTGTGATTGCGGTTTTCTTACAGTGGTAGGTCATGAAAATGTTGTTTTAACTTTCGGATTCGACTGGTTACTTCGCTTCATGTTGTATTTGTAAATGAATCCGGAATATACGAATCTCGTAAAAGAACCCTACTATTTAACTCTGATCATTGTATTGTACGGGTTCTTCCCAAAATTTATGAAAAATTACACAAAAGAACCTTCTCACACCTGTTCAAGAAAACTGCACATAGACGTTAGTTTAAGGAGCATGTTCACAATCTTAGGAGCATGGTCAAAAATGTAAGGTGGGACTTGTCTTATGAAGACTGTCTTGATGACAATATCTCAAATATTGCATGCTATCTCATATTATTTCTTGACACCTGCTGTCCCAGAGAAAAGCTTTTCATTAGATGTGACCCTTTCTCCTCTCCTCAACTTAAAACGTTTCGCAGGGAAAACGAAAAGTTATATAAAATGAAAGATAACATGGTTGTGAAAAAAATTAACACCTTAATCAAGTCTGAAATGCACAGTTTGAATTCGATGTACAATCAGAAGTTCATATCCAATAAAAAAAGCCTCTAATATATGGAAACTTTTCAAAGAAATTGCTGGTAGTAAACAGATGAACCATGCCAGCCATGCACATGGTTCGGGGTTCGATCCACGGCCGACCCACTCCCTTACCTCGCTAAGACAATAATAGGACTGGCAAAGAGGGAAGGTTGGGCATGAGGCTAGCAACCCCATCCTGTCAAAATTAACACTGCTACAGAAACTTCAAGCCTCTAGCTTGAAGCCCTAAGTTCCACTGGGAACGTGAAGGAAAAAAAAACAGATGAACAGTATTCCTTATTCATTTGATGTATATACCATAAACAAGTCTTTTATATATTCTACCACAAACGCCATGGTTTCTGGTGTCACAAGTGTTAATGTCAGCTGCTTTCTTGGTTTTAGTACAAATGACCTTCTAAAATGTCTCCAGTCGCTGGACCCTTTTCGAAGCCTAGATCCATCAGGTGTACCCAGTGTTATTCTTAAAGAATGTGCAGATATACTATGTTATTCCCTCACTGGAAAACTATGGAAAAGTTATTTGGTGGGTGGTGACTAGCAGTGGAATCCAGGATGCGCATTTCTTCCTATTTAGGGCTCATCACTTGGATGTACCTGCATTCCGCAGTGAGTGATGTTTCCACCGAGGCTCGAACCAAGTGCCCATCCACAAGTTAACTTCAAATTACATGCCAACACATCATCGAAGCATCTGCACAAGAAGCCGACATGTCAACCTGAGACCGAGCACTTCGGTTCAATCAATCAACGGGAAAATCTAAAATTCAACTAAGTATGGAAACGTTGCTTTTACTTAATCTTTAACCTTCAACTAAAGGCTTTAACCATTCCAAACAATTCGTCTACCAGCATAATAGAATTACTTTAGATGCAGTTGCAATCTTGTATCATAATATCGTCTCTAGTTTAGACAAAGTGGCTAAACATGTTCGCTGCACCTCCCTAGATTACACATCTGCTCTTGACTCAGTACACAAGAATGTTTAATAAGCTTGCTGAAACTCAAAATGAGTGTTGGGTTGTCAACTGGCTGCATTCTTATTTCTCAGGAAGAAAGCCGCATACTATATGTTAGGGGAAATCGTCCAGTGCATCGCTTACTGATCTGACGTCCCTCAAGGCCCTGTTATTTCTCCTTTTCTGTTTTCTTTCTTACCGCATAACTTGCCTCACTCCAATGGAATGAACTTTGTAAACTTTCTTCTACAGAAAGGTAAATGAAGCTGTTAAATGACCGTTGTTAAATTGATGATACTTATACAGAAATCAAGTCTGACGTTAAGTATCTTGAACTGATTCTTTCTTATGATCTAACCTGATCTTCGGACATCTTAGAAGTTTCTAAAGTATTCCGTCAGACTTTTTACAGTACGAAGTTAAGGCACTCGGACATAACTCAGCGCTCATTTGGCAGTTT